AGCGGGCAGCTCTCCATCATCGCGCGGGCAGTGGTGGAGGCCATATGTCATTTGGAGCTACGTCGGACCAAAATGGGGAGAAGAGGGGGTTCCAGCGAAACCTCGGGCAACATGTTCCCTCAAAACAAAGTGCTATGGTGGCTGCATATGTTTTGCCAGCGCGGACAACCGCCCTGCGCCATTTTCGAGCTTTTCTATTTGGAGACAAACCCAGGTTGCTTGCGGTTTTGTGAGCTTGGAACTTGCATTCTCTTCACTTTTCCACTGTTCTTGATGCGTGCGTCATGTTTTTAACCCCGGGCTGAAAAGATCATGTTTTTGCTACTGCCAGAGGTTGGCAAGTTGTTTTTGCGCGTTTCTTTTCTGAAGACGGAACGTGAAGCAACCGATGAAGCTGATGTTGCATGGCAAGGCTTAGCCCGAACCACATTATTTGTTTGATCTCCTCCTTGGGACAGGTTTAGCGCGTGCCTGTTTGCCCAATTCAGGTGCCACAGGCCAACCCTGGCCCGGAAATATTGCAGTTTTTTGTTGCTTTTGACCAACTGATGTCCCAGTTGGTCAGATGCAAATACATCATTGGGTTGCTGAAAGGAAATATACATCTTTGTGCTGGCTGATGTCGAGGCTCCTCCCTCCTTCTGGATCAGGTCATTCTGGGATGTATTTTCTTCGGCGAACCCTACCATGCACTTGGCTGAAGCATACAAACTTGCCGAATGATCCTCGGCAGATTCGAGTAGTTCAGGCATTCTTTGAATCGTCCACCCAAGTGCCTTTGGTTGACTAAGCTTCCTTGGTAAGGTGCTGAGTTAATCTAACAACTGGCCGTCTCCGGTCTCAATGTACAGGCATGAAAGCGGAAACTCATTCTTGTTGCCAAGACTGACCGTCAGAAAAAAAACAGTTTCAACCAGATATGGCTGTGGGTCAAAACCAATGGTACCATTTCGGGGTAGGTGAATTCGCCACCCGTTTTAGAACCTATTTTTGTTGGATTGGGATGTTCACTGGGGGCAAACCGGGATTTTTGGATTTTGGCCCCTGGCCCTGGCTGTGTCTTTCTAAGGGTTCCCTTCAGGTCACAGGCCTCGCCTCGGACGACCGCTTGGACGACTCCGAGAACCTGGGCCAGATCGGGGCAGCCGGCGCCTGAGAGGTCTGAAACGGATCGGGCGACTCGGCCTGGGAAGGCTTTGGGTTTTGATCTGTCGGATTTCAGGTCTCACTCATGGGGAGTCAGGTTTCGCCAATTGCTGGTTGGACACTGGTGCATGTTAGAAGAATGCATGTATCTTGCTTTTCAGCTCATCAACTCTAAATCCCCATTAAGGGGACCTCCCAAAACAAGCTTTGACTTGCCTTGCGCAAATTGCCATGCTTCCCTCAATGGTTATTGATGAGCACTACGCCAGACCTTCGCTGGCTCTTTGAGATCGACCGACTGGAAAGTGGGCCTGCAGTTTTTGGAGGATTCCTTGGGGTGGATTGCACCGGAATGGAAGCCGCCACCTAGTGCCCTTGTCCCATTCTGGAGCGCTCGCCGGAGGTCTTCATATGCGACGTAGCAGGCACACTGCTGGCAACCCTGATGCCTGGACAGAAGGCGGGGCCCCAAGGGGCTCGAACCCATCAGTGACTCAGTGGGCCCTTGGGTAAGGCTATGGGATTGTCGGCATGCGGTGTTGGCTTTCTTTGGCAAGGGGTGCATACCTCTTTTTCTTGGTTAAGGACTGATTGGGGGCTGGGTGCCCATTCCTCGGGGGATCGGAGAGGCCATCGTGGACAGCAACGGCGTGGGGCACTTTCGGATGGCTTGGGAGATCGGTGGCTGGGCGCGGAACCAAGACCTGCGGCAGGGGGGGGAGGCTTCAGGCTTCTGTTGCTTGTGCTGGCTGCGGCTGCACATGCTGTTGCAGAAGTTGCGGTTGTTTTGACGAGTCTGTAGCTTGGTTTTCTGCCACCTGCGTTGGTGTGACTGCTGGTATTGTGGTTATTGACCGTGGGATTTACGGAGGTGGTGATGGTGGCACTTGCCTTTCCTGTGCGCTGCTGGCGTATCACCACGTGCTGAAGACAGGGTCCATGCCTCAATGACCACACAGCCTGGAAGTGAAATCGGCAGTCATACATTCTTCAAGATATAGTTCAGTGTTGCTTGATCGTTTCTTTATTTGCGATGTTGTTGTCAATGGTTGTTTCTTGTTCAAAGTTCTCTTGGCCATGCCTTTGGTTTTTTCATTGGGTTGTCCCCAAAGGGAAACCCAAGGAAAACGAAATCCATTTCGGGGACGTTCCAATTCCTACTGTGAGGCCCCATCCTTGGCAGCCCAAGCCTTCCCCAAACCCCTAACCCCCACGCAATCCCCCCAACCCCCCTGGAAGTTAGTTGAAAGGTTGAAGGAGGGTCACCGCCGATCTTTTGGAATTTCTTTTGAGATGGGTTTACTTTGTATATGTTCAAAGTGTGTGGGTCTGGGTCAATTTGTTTCACCCCCAGGAAATGGACCGCAGGGTTTAGTTCAGGTGTGCATTATAATGCTGACCCCATATTCATCAACCCCAGTTTATGAATAGGGTGTTTTCTAGTGGGGAATTATCGCTTTTGGAGGGCCCCCCACCCCCCCATAAACTGGAGTTGAAGAATATGAGGTTTCCATTTGCCCTCCCTCCAATTAACATGGAACCCAGAAGGGTCCTGGTTGGGACCATGTTCCTTTTACAGGGATCCCCGAACGTCAAGTTCCATGAGAACAGGGTGGAAGGGCAAATGGAACCCTCCAGATTCATCAACTTCAGCTTGCGGGCCCCTCCAAAAGTGGTAATGGGTGGGAGGGTAATTACCAGGGTTCCATGTTAGGGTACCTATTTTTTGGGAACCCTGGAATGGCTCGGTTCCTGAAACATGGGTAATTATGGGTCAAAATTGAACCACCAGAATAAACCGCAGGTTCCTATGTTTGACCCAGAGCCAAATACCAACAAAGCGCAATGGCTTTCCGATGGGGTTCCTTTCGTGCGACCTCGAAATCCGCCCACCCGACCCGCCATCCGAGGCCTCCGCGCTGAGTGTGGAGAGTTTCCAAGAGGCGCGGGCGGAGGGCTTTATCAGCTTCAAGGCCGGGTCTCGGTCGGGGCTCGGTGGGTATCTGGGGCTGACATATATAATTATGTTTTCTTAAGAATGTTGTTGTTGTTGTTGCTGCTGCTGCTGCTGTTGTTGGTGGTGCTGCTGCTGCTGCTGCTGCTGCTGCTGCTGTTGTTGATGATGTTGTTGTTGTTGTTGTTGTTGTTGTTGTTGTTGTTGTTGTTGTTGTTGTTGTTGTTGTTGTTGTTGTTGTTGTTGTTGTTGTTGTTGTTGTTGTTGTTGTTGTTGTTGTTGTTGTTGTTGTTGTTGTTGTTGTTGTTGCAGTTTTCCCCTTGTTGGTTCTAAAAGTCATTTATCACTACAGGAAATAGGGGTTTGTCCAGGGGTATTAACCAAATGGAAGTATAGAGATAGGTAATTAGATAGGTAGACAGGCAGATGGATGGATGGACGGACGGACGGACGGACGGACGACGGATGTATGGATGGATGGATGGATAGATTTGTAGATATGCGTGTTTGTTGGGATTTAGTGGTGTTGGTTGCGTGCTTTGTTTGAGGATTTGCTGGGGTTGGTGGGTTTATTATGTAATTATTGTTTTGGAGGGCTACTGGGGTTTGCAGGGGTGACGAATATCTGATGTTTCTGGGTTTTGCAGAGGATAATAGACGTCGTTGCAATTTGTTGTAACGCAGATAACGGTTGCATTAGGATTACACCCCGAGATTGCACAATTCGACAGCAACTGTGGTTGAAGCCTTCCTTTGTGAAGTTGGTCGCCCAAGGTCGACCCGGGGAGTGAGGCAAGGGAAGCAAGGAATGGGGTCGTATCTTTGCCTGACTTAGCTTGCCTGTTGAAGTTGTCGCCCTTGTTGGTTTCCATCCACACCCCATTTCGAACAGCAGAAAGCTAACATTTGACAATTAGATCTAAGTCTTTCCGAGGCATTTAAGCCAACAATGGGCTCATGGGTCGCGCCATGTTTGCTGAAATTGACCGATGTAGGGATTCTAGACGGCTTCGTTGTGATCCCACAATTTGCCCAACATGTATTTGACCCCTGCCCTCATTGAGGCTATTGAAAGAAAGTATCCACGAACAAGGAGGATCTTGGATGATCTTGGCATGTTGTCGTTGCTTGTTTTCGGGCTTTGATGACTCCATTGGTTCGGCAAAATTGGGTCGGGGTGTGAAGCATCCCCGCGTTGAATAAACTGTTACAGCTTCGAGACACCGAATCCCCTTGACAAAGGGTCTTGGGCCAAGGCGAAGCTTGGAGTCACTCAATGAACACCTCGGATGTCACTTTTCCGAAGTTGCTGGACTTGATGCTGGGAAGCTCCTGTCATATAATGTTGACCCCATATTAATCAACCGCTGTTCATTTATTGGAAGGTTTAGTAGGGAATCATCACTTTTGGAGGGGAACACCCCCCCCTATGAATACTCCCTGGGGTTGATTAATATGGGGTCAACATTAGTAGAAATGAACAAGTCCTGACTTTTTTAGGCATAGTGGACATGAACCAGACCTACCTTTTCGGGCACCTCCTCAGGAAGTGGGTTGAATCATCCCAAAGTGGGCTGTCTGATTTGCCTGTTACGTTTCACATCACGAGAGTACATTTGCAAGAGCCAAATGCGTGGCAATCTGTTCCCGGCAAACGTTGATTTTCGCCTGTGTCTAAGACTCAGACCCCAAACCTCTCAGTGGGAGATACAACCATAAGCCTCGTTTTGCCCCGGGGGTAGTTGTTTGGGGTGATGGAAACCAGCTTAGACTGGGAGAATCCGAGAATCTACAAAGGAATGCATCCTCATGCACCCTCGCACGAACTGAAAGAGAATCTGGCTGGAGACCCCTGCCCTTGAAAGGTCATCTTATTCTTGAGGCGAACTTTGCTGGGCTACATGATGTCCATAGTTTTTCTCAAGAGCCCCAATTTGACACCAGTTGTTGAGAAAGCAGCTGCGCGATCCAGCTATAGGCCTCTCACTAATATGGAGGGTGCACAGGAACCCTTTCTTCACAAACCAACCATATGCAAAGTATTCTTGTGCTAAACGTTTGTGCACATCCTTGCTTGGTGGTTGGGTAGTCGCTGCTTGTGGTCTGCCTGGCTACCTTTCTATTTGGATGACCTCCATGACGTGTTTTCCCAACGCTCGCATTCCATATTTAAGGGCTGCCGCCCTGTGCCGCCGGCCCCTGCTTGCTGACAGGGGACGTTGTTATGACAATTATGACTACGCATTTTTTGGCGGGTTTCACGGCGCATTTAAAGCAATATGAAAAAGAAGAGCAGCACGATAATGATGATGTTTTTGATGATGCATTTTTCCCAACATTAGGGATGCTGATACTATGCATTTGCATTATCGCCAGCAGTTATGATGATATTTGTTACTTTGCATTTTTTAGCATCACCAGCAGTTGTTCTGATAATTATGACGACGCATTCCATCTCATCTCAAACAAGCCACTGCGGGATAAATTCGCATGACAATAAGCACCTTGTTGAATTTTACCAGAAGTGTCTCGGGTGTGTGGAAACTCGGGCAGGAAACCCATGTTGGGGGCCTTTTTTGTTTTGTTTTCTTATTCTCAAGACTTCGATGTATTGCTGTGGATGCGAAGTGTGGACTTTGTGACTTTGTGCCATCGCTTTGTCTTCGCGAGAAGTAAGCCGTTAGGAATGAACATGATGATGATGAACAGCATGATCATCATGATGATGATGATGATGATGATGATGATGAACACCACCATCATCATTTTCATCATGATGTTCATCATCATGTTCATCATCATCATCATCATCATCATCATCATCATCATCATCATCATCATCATCATCATCATCCTATTGATAATCATCACTGCGCTTCCTCAGCGTCACCAGCAGTTAACGTCCTCATTATGCATCCCCAGCATCAGCAGCTCATCATCATGTTCATCCTCATGTTCATCATCCTCGGCACGGTTTTGATGATGAACATGATGAGGGACATGATGATGCAAATGATGATGATGATATGATGATAAAGATGATGCTGATGATGATGAACATGATGATGAAAATGATGTTCATCATCATCATCATCATTTTCATGGTAATGCTCATCATGTTCATCATCATTATCATCATCATCATCCTGATGATAATCCTCAGCATCACCAGCAGTTGACGTCATCACTGTGCATCCCCAGCATCAGCAGCAGTAATGACAACGCATCCTCTGCATTTCCAGTCGGGTCTAACGGCACACTTGAAACGTATATGAAAAAGAAGAGCGCTACGGTTTTGAACATGATGAGGAACATGATGATGCAAATGATGATGATGAACATGATGATGATGATGAACATGATGATGATGATGATGATGATGATGATGATGATGGATGATGAACATGATGATGAAAATGATGAACATACATGAAAAACAGATGGAAATGATGATGATGATGATGATGATGATGATGAACATGATGATGAAAGTGATGTGTGTTCAATGAAAATGATGATGATGATGATGATGATGAACCTGATGAACAAGTAGTCATGATGATAATCATGACGACGCATCCTCTGCATCACCAGTGCTCTCTAACGCCACACTTGAAATGTATAGTTTAGAAAAGTATAGAAAGAGATGGTGATTACTACGATGATGATGCCGATGATATTGATGACGAGGGTGACAAGGATGATGACTGTGATGATAATTGTCCAGCGTCCAGCAATCCTCATGATAATCATGTTCACGCATCTTGATGATGATGAACATGATGATGAAATCATTTCCATCATCATGTTCATCATGATCATCATGTTTTTCATGTCCATCATCATTTTCATCATCATGTTCCCCGAGCAGATATCATGACATCATGATGAAAATGATGATGATGATGATGATGACGGTGATGAACATGATGATTAAAATGATTGATGATGATGAGCATGATGAATGAGGATGAACACCATCATCATTTTCATCATCATGTTCATCATGTTCATAATGTTCATCATCATCACCGTCATCATCATCATAAGGATGAGGACTGTGATGATAACTATCATCGTAGCATCCTCGGCATCACCAGTGCCGGCTACTAAGAGACGATGATGACCATGATGATTACGATGACAAAGATGAGGGCTGTTATATCATCGTAGCATCCTCGGCATCACCAGTGCCGGCTTGATGACCATGATGATTACGATGACAAAGATGAGGGCTGTTATATCATCGTAGCATCCTCGGCATCATCAGTGCCAGCTAACCAGAGATGATGATGACCATGATGATGGTGATGATAAGGATGAGGACTGTGATGATAACTATCATCGTAGCATCCTCTGCATTGCCAATGGGGTCTAACGTTACTTTTGAAACGCATATAAGAATAAGAATAAGAACAAGAATGAGATGATGATGATCATCATGATGATGGTGAGAAGAGCGATGACATCATAATAAGGGTGATCATGATGATGATTATGATGATAACTATCATCGTAACACCCTTTGCATCACCAGTGCTGCCTAATAAGAGATGATGATGACATCCTCGGCATCACCAGTGCCGGCTAATAAGAGATGAGAATAACCATGATGATAGTGATGATAAGGATGAGGACTGTGATGATAAGTATCGTCGTAGCATCCTCTGCATTGCCAATGGGGTCTAACGTTACTTTTGAAATGCATATAAGAATAAGAATGAGTTCATCATCATCATCATCATTTTCATCATCATGTTCATCATCATCATCATCATTTTCATCATGTTCCTCATCATGTTCATCACTATGCATCCGGTCTTTACAACGCATCCTCTGCATTCCAGTAACGGCACACTTGAAACGTATCTGAAAGAAGAGCGCCAGAACATGATGATGCAAATGATGATGATGATGATGAAAATGATGATGGTGGTGTTCATCATTGATGTCCATGATGAACATGATGATGAAAGTGATGATGGTGGTGTTCATCATCTTCATCATTTTTACATCATCATCATCATCATCTTCATCATCATCATGTTCATCATCCCCATCATGTTCATCATCATCATGTTTATCCTCATCATCCTGATGATAATCATTGCTACGCATCCTCAGCATCACCAGCAGTTCACGTCATCACTATGCTATGCATCCCCAGCATCAGCAGTTATCACATCATGACAACGCATCCGTGCATTTCAAGTCTTGTCTAACGGCACACTTGAAAGATGAACACGATGAGGAACATGATGATGAAAATGATGATGTGGTGATGATGATGAACATGATGATGATGATGATGATGATGATGATGAACATGATGATGATGAACATCCTGATGATACTCATCACTACGCATCCTCATCATCACCAGCATTTCACGTCATCAGTATGCATCCCCAGCATCAGCAGCATGACAATCATGACAACGCATCCTCTGCATGTCCAGTCGGCTCTAACGGCACACTTGAAACGTACATGAAAAAAGAAGAGCGCCACGGTAATGATGATCCGGATGCTGTGAACCATCACCCAACATCAGCGGTGATGATAATCATCACTAAGACCAGGACAAAGACAAGCCCTTCCCATGCGCCTCCCCTTTGGAGAAAGGGGTCGGCGGATTTGTGTCTAGATATCTTCAACTTTAGTGCCTTCAGGCATGGCCAGTGCATCATTCACCCATGATCGAGGGGTGAGAGGTCCTTTTGGGCTGCAAACCGGGGAAGTTCCAGGCGCCTGGCAACATCCACGTGGCGATCCTGGCGGTGCGGGGCAACGGCGCGGGGCCTCGGATTGGATTTGGTGGCCACTGGGCGGCTGCTGAGAATCTCAAACTGGGAGCTGGGGCTTCCTGAGTGCCAAGGGATATGCACATGTTGCCCTGCGCAGACTGGGGAACCCCCTTCCCGGCGCCGCGGGAATTGTTTTTTTCGGCCACTCGTGGGGCAGCAATGGAGAAGCGCGTAAAGTTGAGAAGGCAGCGGGAGGTTCGCGCAGCGCCGCGGCGCTGCTGACATATGCTGACGACTTGAAAACCGGACAGTGCTCGCTCTCGAGACTAGGATGTGCCCCGATGGGCTCCTTTGAAACGCCAGGTGAGATCTCATTGTTTTTTTCAAATTCTGCGGATTGACATAAGGGATTGACATAAGATGAGCTGCTTTTGCGATGACGGGGAGCCAATGGCATGGGTTTTGCAAAGCTTCAACCACAGAGTGACTTGTCCTGAGCCGGGTTCGTGGTTGTTGGTATCCAGGACTTGGGCTGAAGTTTTGCGACGCCACCAGGTTTCAGCTCTTAGTTACCGTAACTTGTCCCAATCCAATGGATATGTGAGAAGTCCAAAGTCGGTGAGAACCATCATTGATTTCTAAGTACCCTGCCCCTTTATGCACTCCCATCTCGCGATTTGCCTGCAAAAGGGGTTGGAGCAAAGAACAGCAAGACCATTTTCAGGTCCCATTGAATGTGGTGGCCTTTGATTCCGCTTGGGCAGAATCAAAAAGTCCCGACCTACTATACGCATCCGCCCGCCTATTTAATCCTTATACATTCCCATTTGGGGCTGTTCCTTTCTCGGGATCCCGTTCTATCCACTTGTGCGTTATGGCAAGTTTGGCAAGATTGTAAGCTGTTGCTTCTTCTTCTCGACACGCTCCAGTGCGTTTGGTTGTTTACTTGCTAGCAAGCTTCTAAGTTGCCATTTCATCCCCCCCGATCCCCCCATCGCTCGTCGTTTGTCTCCGGCACCTGGCCAGATCATTTTTTCGTGGTGGTCGCCTCCGAGCGATCGGCCTACGCGGACGCGCCCATGGAGCTGATTTGCAACATCGCCCAGGGCATCGTTGTCTCACCGTGCCTGCGTTTGGGAGCGAGGGGCCAATCACAGGTTTGAGCTTTTGGATTAATGAATTGCTTGATTCATAGGCCTTAGGGAGGTGGATCCATGGGGACGGGTTCATGGTTCCCTGCTGCCGGACAAGCCCGCTCTTGCAGAGCGGCAGCACCAAGCCGAGTGCGTGTGTGTGTGTGTGTGAGTTGGTATTGTCCTGATTTATTGATGGGTTTGCATTCATGCCGGTAGACTTTGATTGCCGTTTCCTCGGCATTGAGCCGCTTTGGTGTGTGAAATGGGTCAGCAGTTGTGCACATGTGTATACAAATAAATCCATATGTATATATCTATATAGATATATATATATATATATATGTATACGTGTACAGAAACCACCCCATTTGCACGTAGTATGTGCACATACAGATTCTTGGGCATATTGCACGGAAGCCACACACAAAGAAAGGGCTTGGGGGTTCCCTTGTGATACAGGGCCTCGGATTTCTGGGTTTGCTCTCCCGCACGCCGCGTTCAAAGCGTTTGAGCCATAGACTGCGAGGAAAGGTCGTACATCCCCTTGGACCAACGGACTTACTAGCCTGCTGCTTTCCAGTTCGATGCTGGGAAAATTGAACGCCACACAAACGAATTGCAAATGTTCATTGTTTATACGTAGAAAAGATCCCCCAAAGCTCTTTGGGGTCAGGTACCCTGCAGCCATGCTGGTCCTGGCGTTGTGCTTCGTCCTCCACCAGGTGAACGCGAGGCTTGCTGCGGACGTGGCGTTTGAAGCCGAAGCCTTCCGATTCAAGACGGTTGTGTTTAGGGTCACCCGAAAATGTGACTTTGGTGTGGGGGCTGAAGACCTGAGAGCTAAACATCTCCTCCCGTCAAGAAGAAACCTAGGCCTGGCGCCACGTTCCGACTTGGACGGAAGCTCAGCGGGCAAGCGGCTGGCGGATTTTTCGCAATGCGGCCAGGCGGCGGAAGAGACGTGTACAGCCGGAAGAGAGGCAGGCGAAACGGGGCAACTTCTGAAGTTCACTCTTGGACCGGGCAGATGTAGCTAGGAGAATGCGCTTAGGTCAACAGGTAGCTGGAATGCCCTTGGGTTCACAGGTGTAGCTCCAGAGATCCAGCTGGGTGTATCGTGTCAAAGCCAAAAAGGCCCCATGGGCGCATGCCTTTCCGAGATGTTTCGAGCGGGAGACTGGAAAGCAACTCCAGATGGAGACATTAATGACTACTTTGCCTTTTGGCTGGTTATTTTCCTTTACCTTTGGGTGGCAGCTGAAATCCAGCTGATCCATGTGAAGGATCATCATTTTGTACCAAGCTGGATAATGTAGGGAGGTTTCTGGGCCAGTTTCTCGCAGTTGGGGTTGGGTATTCTGGCCCTGGCCAGTTGTTTGCAACTGAATATGGGCAATTGGAGCCAGGTTGAGCAAGAGTGACAGGTGTCCCTCTCAGCCTCAAACCGATGACCAAACCACGGTTGGGTAGAACGTAGGTACAAGGTGTGTGTCCTGCTGCTCTGCTTTTCAGAGACCGTTGTTCTACCCTTGTTGCAGGCGCTTTACAAATGACGAATCTTGCATGTCGTTTAGATGTTCCCGTTCAGGACAGTCCGGCGACAAGTTCATTGCATGAGACTCAAGTCCGACTCGTAGCGTGTTTAGCTTTTCAAAAAAACAAGGGGACACATAGATTGTGTTTTCCAGACCCCTGTTGGAAAGGGTGTTTGTTTTTGCCTAGCCCTGGCACAGGGCTAACCCTGGCAGGTGGTTGGTTGGTTGGTTGGTTGGTTGGTTGGTTGGTTGGTTGGTTGGTTGGTTGGTTGGTTGGTTGGTTGGTTGGTTGGTTGGTTGGTTGGTTGGTTGGTGGGTGGGTTGGTGGGTTGGTGGGTTGGTGGGTTGGTGGGTTGGTGGGTTGGTGGGTTGGTGGGTTGGTGGGTTGGTGGGTTGGTGGGTTGGCTGCTGGCTGGCTGGTTGGTTGGCTGGCTGGCTGGCTGGCTGGCTGGCTGGCTGGCTGGCTGGCTGTCTTAGCCACCTTGGGTGGCTTAAAACACAACCGTGGCCGAAGCCAATTTTAAACCCATGCGAAATCGGCCCTAAACCCACCCGAGACCAGCCCCAAGAAGCCCCACCATAAACCAGCACTGAACAATCTGCCGCAAGCATAGTTGCAAAACCTGGTGATGTTAAGAATGTTGAAAACGATGCTGAGGCTGAACCAGCTCTGAACGGACTACCCCAAGCCTACTCTAAACCTACCCCAAACCTTTGGCCGTTAGTGTCTCCAGGCTGTGCCAGGGTTAGGCTAATGCCAGGGCTATGCAAAAAACACCTCAAGCATTTTGCCCCCGGCATGCCAGGCTTGCGCACGCCGAGAAGACCTTGGCGCCGGATTCTCTGAGTCGAGATCCGTCCAGTCCAACGGCCCCCGTGCCCGGCGTGTTTTTCGGGGCGCCCGTGGGTTGGCTTAGGGAAAGGGAAGCCCGATTCATATTTGGGTGTCCCCGTTTTTCTTGGCGCATACAGACTGTCTCAGATGTAGACTGGCCTAAGACGGCTTTCTGGGCACGTGGTCTTGTTTGGTGGTTGCCGTGGCCGCGCCAATCCGACACACACAGGTGGTTCTGGACGTCATACGTTTGTTGGGAACACCATTTTAGCGGCAAGTAACCAAAACACGGGTCGGAAGAAAGGATAAGGACAGCCCCACCGTGTGAAGACCCGCACTTATTTATCACTGGTGTGGGTAGGCTTCCGCAACTAGGTTGTTGGTTGCTCATGTCAATGCAGGCCTTGGCTTCGCAATATGCAGGGAACCAACCGTAGTGGCGCTAGCAGGGTTTCCACTAAACATGACAGCAACCCCAAAATGACATGTTACCCCTTTGCCGCCTATCGTACTTACCAGCTTTGGAGGCGTCTGGTGAATGAAGGTCGAACTCTGACGGAGCGCCTTTCAGAGATTGATTCTTTCAGTGAGGCATCTAATTACTTCTTTTCCCAAAGTGTGAATCACTCAACCATTTCGGGAGGTCTCCTGGTTGTGTGACCCTTCTTGCCATTTGCTTCCCCCATTCTTGGGCAACTCTAAACTTGGCTTCAAGAAGAACCGGGGGTTGGGCCCACTCCCTGTAAAGCGTTTTTGCGATTTCGTTTGGCGCCGTTTCCTCTTTCAGATCGCCCTCCCGCGTCGTGTGTGCCGTGCCGAGGATGCTTCGATCAAGGACGGGGTCACGTAGCAAGACGCTTGCCTGCAGCTCGCGCTTGGGAACCCCACAACTCACTTGGAGGCTAGCCTTACGGTTTGGGCTCAAAGGAGGCCTACTTGGCGAAGATGTGTTTTTCCTGTCAGCATGGCAAGTGGGAATAGGCATGGGCGCAACACCTCTCTAAGCAAGCCCCTCAAACTGGGGGGAATGGCCATCACTTCCCTTTGGCAAGTGTGAGGTTCGCTCAGAATGACCAGTGCGGTCCATGAAGGCGCATGCCACCGAGTGTGCCAAGGCTGGGGTCCAGATAGTGACGCGGATCATCTTCTCCTTTGGGCGGTTCCGTCACCAAGTGACTTGCTCGGCCCGAGTTTTTGGGATTGCCTTTTGCAGCCGAAGGCTCAAGGGGCCCGAATTCAGAAATGCCCGTGTGAGAGGAGGCGTTGCACGCTAGCGAGTTAGAGCTGAGTTTGGAGTCGTGTTCTTATACTTGCTGGGTGGCTGGTGTTCCTCCGCGACGATAAACACAACGAGGAAGGCTTTCATTTGTTTGGGCCGGCTGTTTGGAGGATTGGCGGAAAACGGTGCCGACCAATTGATATGTGACATGCAGTTTGGCTCGCTAAGGCGGTCGAAACAATTCCAATCAGCCAAGGACACAGTCCAAAATCGGGCAGTTTTCCACTTCAGAACACTTGGCAGTTGCGCTCATCCCTGTGAAGTACACTTGGTCGTTGCGCTCATCCCTGTGAAGTAGTGCCCATTTGATGCCCTTGGCGCCACTAGCATGTCCATCTGGCGAATGGGTTTCCGTGAGCATGTGCACTTCCGTTTTGGCGTGACCAAACATGGCATTTCAGGGCTTGACGTATACATCATGACCGCAGCTCTTTTTTTTTTGGGTTGGTAGGGTAACCCTCGAACAGTCTCGGTTGAACGCTTCGCGTTGCCCGCCTCGGCCAGTCTGCTCTTGGCTGGCTTTGATGTATACACCGTGCTTTAGTTTGCGTTGAAGTCTTGTGTGTATTAGACTGAGTGAGTCGGCGCCGAAATGCGTGAGCTGGTTTCCAAGGTAGAGGTGTGGTGCGTCTGCGTGTTTCCCATGGCTTCAAGGCCCAGAAAAAGAGCCGCAGAGAGCTACAGAATGTGAGTGAGGGCTTGGGCCAAGCGAAGGTGCAAATTTCTCTGGAAATTTCAAATACCGCCTCTTCAAAACGATCCTGATCAAATCACCCCAAGAAACCCCATCTAGACCAGGCACCTCCCCTACCAAGGCCAGCCAAATCCGGCCAGAAACCGGTCAAACCTACCAGAAACCGAGAAACCTGTCAAATCGCCTTCGCAAATCCAACGGTCAAATCCTTCCAGAAACCGGTTCCCCACAAATTGGGCAGTTTGCGATCGGCTTTGCAGGGGGCAAGGCCCGAAAATCTGGCCGCTTCCCAGCCCAGCTTCCTTTGGAGGCGGCTGGAGCAGGGATTTTGGCTGCGCCACATAGGGTTCGGGGCGGGGGTTTTCTCAAGGCAGTTTTTGCAAGGTTTTGTTGTTTTTCTGGTCAGGAGGTACGGTACCCTCTTGTCCTACCAGCAAGGGAGTTGACAGCATCCCGGCCCGGGCAACAGAGGCACAATCTTAGGCTGAAGGCCCCGCTGCCATTTGCACAGCAAGGCAAACTGAAGGTGCGAAAGCAACCCCTCCCAATGTTTCAGATGTTCAGTTGCAGCAGCATTTTGATGAATTCTTCCTGAACGGCTTGGTGCAGCCACCCCCCCCCAGAATGCATTGCCACTTGGATTCCCAATAGCAACAGCACTTGGGATGATGCTGTGTGCTTCCACGATGTTAAGCGTCGGTTTAACCTCGAGTTGTGATTGGCGGGGTGTGCCATGCTTCAGCATGGAGGAGAATCCAGGACTGCGTCAGCCACCGCTCCGACCTCACTGCAAGCATGTTGTGTGGGGTTCTGGGCGTTGGTTTTGCAGATTTTGAATCAGGAGGGTTTGAACACCATGTAATGCTTCGGATGCCGCAAGGATTTCATGGCACGGTTGCTGGTCCTCAAATGGCCCTGCTTTTTGGCGCTCGGGTCACCACATTTTCAATTTACTTGGATGCCCCAATGAGCCGAACAGCTCATGAAAGACGGCCTTTCCATGACAAGGGTGACGAACCTGTTGAAATAGGTGGTCCCCATTTCATGGTGCGATTCTCTCGGGGTGCCCGAGAAACATCAGCCCCAACAAAACGAACAAAGCGCCGTTTGGCTTGAACCGCGCGGCCGACTTGATGCTGCGCATGGTGGAGTTTTGATCATGTCACGCAAATTGCCCACGGAGCGCGGTTTTTTAATCGCGAAGCAAATCAACCAATCCTAGTCTTTGCTTATGTCCCAAAACTGGGTCATCTTGCTTGCACGTGCAGTGTTGTGCGGGTGCACCTGGGCAGGTGTGCTTACCATGCGTGGCCAGTGTTGAGCGGGCACGCCTTACCATTCGGCTGGCGTGTGTGGGGTGGGCTTGAGCGTGTGTGCTTGAAATTTGGCTGGCGTGTGTGCAGGCGTGTGCAGTGCTGGGAGGGTGCGCTTGAGCGGACCAACCTGACCGCCTTGACGACAGGCGACTTGAGGCGACTGCCAACGGCCCGCCAATGCGGAGCGGTGCCAGCTCGCAGCCGTAATGCACCCTACCGCCGACTGAGGGGGACATTTTGTCCTTCTTGGCTAGCGGTGGTGTCACTGGAGTGGGCACCTGGCATGGGCATACCCCACAACCCCTTCCGACACATACCCCCTCCTAAACACGCCTGACATATTGGTTGAGGTTTCTCTTCTTTTTTTACTGCCCCAGCTTTTACTAGCCCCGGCTCAGCACGAGGCCGCCCCCACGTGGCTCCGAAGAGGTTGGCTGGGAACCCTTTCTTCGCCCTCAGGTTGGGGGCAACAATGAGGGCCGACCACCGCGTGCGGCACGCTGCGGCACAAGAGGCTTGCTGGTCATCTGGCACGGAACGAGCGCGGGCCCGGGCAAGCAAGCAGACAAACTGCGTGGCCTCCGCGCTCCAGCGGCCACCCACTTCAAGTCTGACAACCACCGATGCGAGGAACGGATCTCACGGTAAGTCCTCTCCTTGGCTCGCGAGCAAGACGGAGCGCGGCTCCCTCGGAACGGCGCTGGTAAACCCGCGCTTGGCCGGCAGCGAGACGAGGGTCGTGTTAACCGCGAGCTGCACGCCCCCCCCTTACGATATGGCTGGAGCGGGTGTGCTTTCCATTTGGCTGGCTTTCATGCGGCTGGCGTGCGCGCAGTGCTGACTGGCTGCGCTGGAGCGTGTGCTTGCCATGTGGCTGGCTGGCGTGCGTGCGTGCGTTCGTGTGTGTGTGTGTGTGTCTCTGTGTGTCTCTGTGTGTCTCTGTGTGTCTCTGTGTGTCTCTGTGTGTCTGTGTGTGTGTGTGTCTGTGTGTGTGTGTCTGTGTGTGTCTCTGTGTGTGTCTCTGTCTGTGTCTGTGTGTGTGTCTGTCTGTGTCTGTCTCTGTGTCTGTCTCTGTGTCTGTCTCTGTGTCTGTCTCTGTGTCTGTCTCTGTGTCTGTCTGTGTGTCTGTCTGTGTGTCTGTCTGTGTGTGTCTCTGTGTGTGTGTCTCTGTCTGTGTCTCTGTCTGTGTCTCTGTGTGTGTCTCTGTGTCTCTGTGTGTGTGTGTGTCTCTGTGTGTGTCTCTGTCTGTGTGTGTGTGTCTGTGTGTGTGTGTGTGTCTGTGTGTGTGTGTCTGTGTCTGTCTGTGTCTGTCTGTGTCTGTCTGTGTCTGTCTCTGTGTCTGTCTCTGTGTCTGTCTCTGTGTCTGTCTCTGTGTCTGTCTCTGTGTCTGTCTCTGTGTCTGTCTGTGTGTCTGTCTGTGTGTCTGTCTGTGTGTCTGTGTGTGTGTGTCTGTCTGTGTGTCTGTCTGTGTGTCTGTCTGTGTGCCTGTCTGTGTGTCTGTCTGTGTGTCTGTCTGTGTGTCTGTCTGTGTGTCTGTCTGTGTGTCTGTCTGTGTGTCTGTCTGTGTGTCTGTCTGTGTGTCTGTCTGTGTGTCTGTCTGTGTGTCTGTCTGTGTGTCTGTCTGTGTGTCTGTCTGTGTGTCTGTCTGTGTGTCTGTCTGTGTGTCTGTCTGTGTGTCTGTCTGTGTGTCTGTCTGTGTGTCTGTCTGTGTGTCTGTCTGTGTGTCTGTCTGTGTGTCTGTCTGTGTGTCTGTCTGTGTGTCTGTCTGTGTGTCTGTCTGTGTGTCTGTCTGTGTGTCTGTCTGTGTGTCTGTCTGTGTGTCTGTCTGTGTGTCTGTCTGTGTGTCTGTCTGTGTGTCTGTCTGTGTGTCTGTCTGTGTGTCTGTCTGTGTGTCTGTCTGTGTGTCTGTCTGTGTGTCTGTCTGTGTGTCTGTCTGTGTGTCTGTCTGTGTGTCTGTCTGTGTGTCTGTCTGTGTGTCTGTCTGTGTGTCTGTCTGTGTGTCTGTCTGTGTGTCTGTGTGTGTGCAGCGCTGAGTGGGGCACTTGACGTGCGCGCAGCGCTGAGCGGGCGCACGTGAGCGGGCATGCTTGCCATATGGCCGGCGTGCGTACAGCACTGAGCGATTGCTGCCGTGGACAAGACCCTGCAAGCCGTCGTGATTTGCTCTCAGATCCCTGGAGCCCTGAACCTTGCTGACGTGCGGTGTCACGAAATGCTGCGCGCGCAGCAAAAATGTACCACTGAACCATAACTAGACAGCATCCTAATAAGAAAGACGGCTAAATGGTTCTTGCCTTCCTCCTCTCGCCATTAATCTCCTGTCTAAGCCTCTCTTCTTTATCTGGCTCTTGGTCACCTGCTTGGATCTCCAGTATCTGCGAGGGAACGAGAGAGGCAAGGCACATAAGGTCCATCTCTTGTCACCTACCGTCCCTTCCCATTCCTTCTATCTCATCTTCTCCAAATGGAGGAATGGGAAGGTGGTTGAAGAGATGGCCTGTCTTCCCTCTCCCCTTTTCTTTGTCTTTGTCATGGAGCATCACCGACGGCGGGGGGGTGGGAGACAGGAGAAAAGAGATGGCCATTCCTGTCTCCCCTTTCTCTTTCTTGTATCTTTTTTTTTCTCGTTGATTTTTTCTTTGTCGTTCTTTTTATTTCTCTTTCTATTTCTCTTTCTCTTTCTTTTGTTCCAATTTCTCTTTCTCTTTCTCTCACTCTCTTTCCCTTTCGTGCTCTACCTCCTTCCACGAAATCTGTTCCCCACCTTTCGAAGGTGCCGCACCTGCCTCAAAATCCGCACCTGCCGCGAAATCCGCACCTGACCTTGCCAAAACGCCGCGCCTGCCACGATATCTGCACCTGACCTTGCGCTGCACTGCGCCGTGCCAAACTGCTGCGCTTGCCACGAAATATGTACCTGACCTCGCGAAAGTGCTGCGCCTGCCACGATCTCGAAATCCACTTGACCATGCAAAAGCGCAGTGTCTGCCACGAAATCTGCACCGCGCGTGCCTTGCCATTGCAGTGGGCGGTGTGCCGGGTGCGCTTACCATGTAACGGCTTGCGGGTGGCCAACGTGTGTGTGCCAGCGCCGGACGGGTGCTTTACTGCCTGGCGAGCGCTTGAAATTGGTCGGAAAGCTTTTTACTTAACCCGTGAATGGAAACCTGAACCGAACCACGGGTCCTAATCCGCAAAGCACGGCCATTCAGGGCACTTTTTTTGGTGGTGCAGCATTTCGTGACACTGCGTGTCAGCTGACACATCACGATGTTTTGCCGGGTTTTTACCACGGCAGCAGGGTTCAGGGTTCTGAGCGCAGCACGCCCACATATCACGACTCTGTACCGGGTTTTGGCTGGCAAGGTTTAGGGTTGTGGGGCTCTGAGAGCAAATCACGACAGCTGCAGGGCATTGGCTTGTCAATCGCAACCAATCAACCGATTCTCATCCTCGGCGTGTTCGGGGGCTTTTGTCTAACGAGGAGCACCGGCTGAGCTGGGCAGCGCCGAAGGCACGGGGGCTGCGGAGTAGCGAATGGCCAAGGGGACAGCTTCCCAGCACAATCGTCCCATCCACGTTGACACGGAGCCAGGGTTTTGGCGGTTTTCTTGAAGGGACATTTCAGCGTTCCGCAGTTCTGAGAGTCACGCGTGATTGTAAAGTGCTGAAGGGCAAGGCAGCTCCAGCAGGATCCAACAAAACGAATGGACATTCTCACATCCAGCCAGCAAGCCACTCCTAACAGAAAGCCACGCCTAGCAAAAAACAACAACCCAGGTTGTGGCGCCATGGTTGGCACGCTCTAGCAGCTGTCACTTTTTGTGCGTTGGTCCAGGTCCTGATTCAATTCCAAACGGGATTTTGAGGCAACTGGTGGCTCCTTCTGCAGTAGAGAACTGCAGGTATTGGCTCGAGTAGAGGGCCGCGCCATGGCGGAAGTGAGCGCACGCAGACCCATCAAGAGCACACTGGCAGACCCAGAGGGGGGTAGCCAGCCTCTGCACTTTTTTGCTCCTGGAAATTGAGCGGGTTGTGCTTGGCAGGCTGCATTCTCTCTGACCGGCTGCAGTTGCCGCGCGTGGAGGCATGCGCAGGCAGTGTTCAGACTTGTTGTGTGAAAGACGAGCTTTCACAGCACCCACGCAAGCCCTGTGATGCACACACTGCTCAAACGCTTTTTGCGATTGGTTCCATGTCATTGAAATCAGCAAGAAGCGCATGTTCTTGATGAGCAAAACTTGCACAGCAAGCGTGCCCGATAGGCAGCTGCCGAGCAATGCCGCTCCATTGCCGGCTGCAGACATTTGAGCAGCGGCTCGCTCGCGGAGGCTGACGCTTTGCTCTGAGCAGAGCAAGTCACCTGGCCTGCCGTTTGCCAGACGATATTCTTTGACGCAACTCGGGCCAGCACCGCCTTGGAATCTCTTGCGCTGTGTGCGAAGCTGGAGCTTGTGTGAAGGTGCTGGCAAATTCCGCTTGTTGAGTTTGGAGCGAAGATTCCGGCTCCGCAGCAGTGCGCCATATCGTTCTGGTACTTCGCGTCACGCCGCGCTTGTAAGTTCAAGGTGAAATCTTTGCGCAACTCTCTGTAGAACGTTTCAGCGTGACATCGTATCATGTGTAGCTACAAAATAAATTCACGGCGCAAGTCTATGTAAAATCTCAACGTGAGATCTCAAGTGTAATTTCAACAGAAAGTCTCTAAGCAACTCTTTGTAGCATCTCAACTAGATACCTTGTGGAAACGACTTGCTTCTGCAGCATTCTTTCCCTCTCGCTCCGTAAAGTAGGGCAAACACTGCACTGTTTTAGCAAGGCTCTCATGACGAGCCGTTAAAAAAGGAACTTGAAAATTAAACAATTGCTGGGCATATTCGCGGAGGGTTGTTCCTGACACCCGGAACATGTGGGCCCGCAGCAGGGCCCACCTGCCCGGATTTTGTTTTGCGCAATGTTCGGAGCGAGTTTCGAAGAATCCCGGTTCGCTCGTAGGGCGTGCGCGTGTTTGTGCACACCTCTTGAGCTTTTGTCCCACATATGCACTCAGATAAAATTGGCTCCCAACTTAATGGACGAAAGCTCTCCACGGGAAAAATATCTAGCGGAAGTTTGCGTTGGGAAGATTCGACATGTGGGAAGCGCAGCAGCTGCTTGGTGATCAACCTCATACTGCTCAGCATTTAGACCAGGTAGACCCGACCCAGCTCAGGAAATTGCCAGGAGCACATTGGGTGCTACTACCAATCGCTAAATCCAAACCCTTGTTGTCTTGTGGCCGGCACGCAGGCCCGGTGCAGCTGGCAGTGGGAGGTGCGAAGCCCACATTCGAGAAAGTGAACTTTTCTCGCGTGGGCAGTGTCAGCGCGACACTGCCTGCGCCCGCCTAGAACACCAAGGCCCGAGACGCTGGCCCAGAAGCGGCGCAAGGGTTTGCTGGCGCAGGCCTGCGCATGCAGCCTGCCACCCCTGCGCAGCACCAAAGTGCCGCGGCTGGTTGGCTCCGTGGCTTCGCTGGGCTTCGCCTCTCATGGAACGCTTTCGCCTTGCAGACCGGCCTCCGGCTCTCAGCAGGTCGATGCCTTTAAGTGCCTTGCGACCTACCGGCCATTATGCATGAACTGTGTCCGACTGACGCAAGCATGGCCCAACTTTTGCCTTGACACCGCAAGAGCCTGCCTTTTGGGCCTTGGCCACGAGGCGCTGGGTAGCCAGGGCACTAAACCCCAGCATCATGCAACGCACACGTTTTAGCCGGACCGGCCGTTTCAATGCGTGCGCAGCTGCGCCGCAAAGACCTGATTTATTTGCAGTCCTTGAAGCATCAGTGCATATCAATGCTGGCCTCAGTAGCGGCTTCCGTGCCGTTCGACGAAGCGGGGCCAAGGCAATTGAGAGTTTTGGTGTTGCCTCGTATTCGGCAACATATGATTGTTTTGCGAAGCTTGCTGATTTCGGGGCTGTAAGATTTCGATTCTCTTCGGCCTAGCATCTCACGTAGCAATCTCAGATTTTGACCATCATGTCGCCGACTCGACCAGGTTCGAGATGCGAGGCTTGTCCGGGCACGAGGAGATCGGGACAATTCGCCGACGCTGCGGCCAAAAACATGGCAAACGCAAGCTCTTCTGCTCAAACGAATGGACCTGAATATGCGGGCCATCCAAATTGCTGTGAAAAACACTGATTGCAAGCACTTGTATCAGAAGCTGGAAGGCCCCTTGCGAGCTCTTTTGCAACCTTGTTTAGGCCCACAGGGCACACAGCGTGCGCATTTTTTTGGAAATTTGACGGTGTCAAGTGGGTGGGGCCGCTGGGGCCTGCGGTTCGCGGAAGCTTCGCGTAGGCCAGGCGACCGAGAAGGGTGCGTGGGATCACAGAAATGTCACTCAGGTTGCAGAAGCTTGGGGGATGTGCTGGTTCGCAGAAGTTGGCGGAAGGTGCTGAGGTTCGCAGAACTTTGTGGGAGAGGCTCGTGCTTCGCAGAAGTTGAGTAGCATGCTGGCTTGCATGGGTGCTCTATAGTGGTTTTTGCCTTACAACATAACGCAGCCGCCTATGTGAGCGCCATGCGTCGCACCACCTGCTCTGGTAGGGCTGGGGCTGGCCACGGAGCCAAACAAGCAAGTTAGTGCGCGTCACGCTTTGCGCACGCACGCAGTTCCAAAGCTTCCGGGCAATCGCTTGCTTGCAGGCAACGGGAGAGGGCTAATGTATTTTGTGCCGTGCAGGCATTTGTTTGCTTCAACTCCTGAGGCCCCATAGCCAAGTCCAACCAAGAGCCTCCGCCCCGCTACTTCTTTCGTAGTGCCCCGGGAGGTGCGTTCAGCCAGGTCGCTTGCCAAGTGCTGCACAAGCGCGCGATTCATTCAGCAGTGTCGTTTGCCAAGTGCTGCACAGGCGCACGGCGCATTCAGCAATGTCGCTTGCACAGTGCTGCGCAGGCGTACAATGCATGCAGGAATATTGCTTGCCATGTGCTGCACAGGCGCGCGGTTCATTCAGCACTGTCGTTTGCCAAGTGTTGCAGTGCATTCAGCAATGCCGCTTGCAAAGTGCTGCGCAGGCGTACAATGCACGCAGGAATATTGCTTGCCATGTGCTGCACAGGCGCACGGTTCATTTAGGAGTGTCATTTGCAAAGGGTTGCACAGGCACACGGTGCATTCAGCAATGTTGCCTGCCACGTGCTGCACAGGCGCATGGCGCGTGCAGCAATGTCGCTTGCCAAGTGCTGCACGGGCGCATGGATTATTCAGCGTGCTGCACAGGTGCACGGTCCATTCAACAATGCCGCTTGCCAAGTGCTGCGCAGGCGCATGGTGCATTCAGCAAAGCCGCTTGCCAAGCGCTACACAAGCGCACGGTGCATTCAGCCATGTCGCTTGCCAAGCGCAGCGCAGGCACGCACTGCGACGTACCGTGTGATCAGCCGCATCTTATGCGGCTGTGCCAACGCGTTGCGACGGCAGATGGAGCAGGCGGGATTGCTTTCCGATAGGTGCTCTTGCAAGGTTTGCTTCCACGGTCGGCTTGTGACGCAGCGCGACCGCGAAGAGTGAAGAACTTAGCTGCATTGAGCTTACGCTGATCCACACAACCGGTGCTTTGCCTGGTTGCCACGTTGCAAGACACACGCCCGTCATTTCTGCGGCATGTGGTTGACTTTGCGCTCAGGGTCGAAATGACCGTCAGATTGAAAATTTCCTCATAAGCAGAGATTGTTTGGCACGCAGGTGGGAAGCACCCGTATCATTTCTCGAGCCTGAACCTGCACGTGCTTTCTCAATGCCATGCCCTTTTAGGGTCTGTTGGAAGCAGCCCACTCTTTCTCCGGTTATTTGAAGGCAAAAGAGAGCTCTTCAAAGGATACACCCCAAAACCACACGGACAGCTCGCATGTGTGCAGTGCTTTTGCTGGACGAACGCGATTTGCAGCTCCAGGGGGCAAATCTACGCATTGATAGTTGGCGGGACAAAGTGGCCCATGAGTCTGAACAGCTGGAAGTAGCCAGCAACACCCCCAGGCCCAACATCAGCCATGCGAAATAATTAAGCAGTCTGCTTTTGCCTCTCAAAGCGAAGTGTGATGGCGGGGCAGCTCTGAGTGGTTTCACTGTTGTTCGGCCTTCCTAGACTAGTTAGAGGCAAAGCTGGGAATGGTGCTGTGTTTCCTTCAAGCCAGACGGTCTCGGGCAGCGGAAAAGATCGAAGTCAAAAGCAGTAAAGCGTTTACGGAGAGTCATCAGGTTTCAAAATGTTGAAAGTTCAGGCGGCGGGCAGCTCAGGTGGGTCCAGGCTGCTTTGTCGCGCGACAGCCCGTCTATTTTTTCAATCACGGCGCCTACCACGCAAGAAGACCGCTGCCCCACGGCGACCCACGGCGGCCCACGGCGCCAAACCTTCGCAAGGTAATATAAAGTACTGCGCCTGCCACGCGAAACCGCATCGGAGTGCAGAGAGCACTGCGCCTGCCACGGGAAACAGCATCGGAGTGCACAAAGTAATGCGACTGCAAGAAGACCGCCGGCCCACGGCGGCCGACGTTCGCAAGGTAATATAAAGTATTGTGCCTGCTGTGCGAAACAGCATCAGAGTGCAGAGAGCACTGCGCCTGCCACGCGAAACAGCATCAGAGTGCAGAAAGTATTGCGCCTGCCACGCAAGAAGAAGCCTGCGCAAGGTAATATATAGTACTGCGCCTGCCACGTGAAACAGCATCGGAGTGCAGAGAGCACCGCTCCTGCCACGCGAAACAGCATCGGAGTGCAGAAAGTAATGCGCCTGCCAGAAGACCGCCGGCCCACGGCGGCCCACAGCCCACGGCGCCAAATTCCTTCGCAAGGTCATATTAAGTACTGCGCCTGCCACGCGAAACTGCATGCAGAGACGCGAAACAGCATCGGAGCGCAGAGAGTAATGCGCCTGCAAGAAGACCGCCGGCCCACGGCGGCCGACGTTCGCAAGGTAGTATAAAGTGCTGCGCGTGCCACGCAAAACAGCATCGGAGTGCAGAGAGCACTGCGCCTGCCACGCGAAACAGCATCAGAGTGGAGACAGTATTGCGCCTGTCACGCAAGAAGACCGCCGGCCCACGGCGGCCCACAGCGGCCAGCCTGCGCAAGGTAATGTAAAGTACTGCGCCTGCCACGCGAAGCAGCAGCGGAGTGCAGAGAGTACTGCTCCTGCCACGCGAAACAGCATCGGAGCGCAGAGAGTAATGCGCCTGCAAGAAGACCGCCGGCCCACGGCGGCCGACGTTCGCAAGGTAGTATAAAGTGCTGCGCGTGCCACGCAAAACAGCATCGGAGTGCAGAGAGCACTGCGCCTGCCACACGAAACAGCCTTCGCAAGGTAATATAAAGTACTGCCACGCGAAACAGCGTTGGAGTGCAGAAAGTATTGCGCCTGCCAGGCAAAATATGACAAAGTCAGTGAGTGTTAGTTGTGTGTGAGAGTTAGTGTGGCAAAGTCAGTGAGCGTAAGTTGAGTGTGTGAGAGTAAGTATGACAAAGTCAATCAGTGTAAGTTGAGTGTGTCAGAGTTAGTGTGGCAAAGTCAGTGAGTGTAAGTCAAGTGTGCGCGTCGAGGACGCGGAGCACGCGGAGACAAAACGCGAGACACGGGCGAAGACAGCAAAAGCAAGAACCCCGCACAATGATGCGGGGAACAGATGTTCCATCCTTTTAGTTTATTCTACGCTGGGAGATTGCACTGTGCCACAGACAGCGGTTCAACTCACCCAACATCCGCAGAGGGTTGTCTTCGTTGTGAAAAAATCGCTCTGCGCCACAGCATGCAGAGGGCGCGCCAATCCACGATTTCCGGAATCCGCACGGCACCACAGCGAGAGCGCGCCCTCGAAAGACGCCGCCGACGAAGGTTGCGTTGTGCTCAACCCTTAAGGGAGTAGAGGGTGCTCGTAGACGAGATCTTGTGTGGAGATCCTAAATCCTCCCACGGGTATCTTGCTCTGGCGCTTCACAGAGAGCCTCTCAACAGATCTTGCGCAGCGTTAGGCGTTGCTTGTGCAATTTGCCGATTCTCAATGATTTTAGCCAGCGGCCCCAAACCAAAAAGGTTTAGGATGCATTGTGAGACAGGAATCCACGTCTGCACAGGCGTATGGTGCATGCAGCATTGTCGCTTGTTAAGTGCTGCACAGGCGCGCGGTGCATTCAGCGTGCTGCACAGGCGCACGGTGCATTCAGCAATGCCGCTTGCCAAGTGCTGCACAGGCACAGCAGTGCGGGCGGGGGGTCGTCTGTGCACTCAGCAAAGTGGTCGTCCGTGCACTCGAATCGTGGTCGTCCGTGTACTCGCCGAGCGGAAAACCGTGGCCCCGTGCGGCAAAACGCAGCGGTCGCATCTGGGTCGCAGGTGCACTCGCAGGCGCGCACCAGCGGTTACCTGTAAACTCGCGGGCCGGTAGTACGCGCAGTGCGCTTTCGCAGGTCCGGTGCGAAATTTGCAAATTTCACGTACGACAAAAAGTAGTATGCGAAGCGTGTTCCCGCAGCTCCGGCCCAAAAAAATCGCAAAGTTTCAGTACAAAAGTAGTACGCAAAGAGCATTCCCAGAGCTCCAGCTCCAAAATCGCATCTTGTAAGTACAAAAGTAGCATGCGAAGCGTTTTCCCGCAGCTCCGGCAAAGGAATCACAATCTTTAAGTCAGTACAAAAGTAATACGCGAAGAGCATTCCCAGAGCTCCGGCTGCAAAATCGCAACTTGTAAGTAGCGGTGTGAATGACAAGCTTTCAAAGGGTTTCTCAGGCTTGCTCCACACATGTAAGCGGAGCTTGTGGGAAGGTGGGCGCAATTCCCGCTTGTTGAGTTTCGAGCGAAGATTCCGGCCCCGCAGCACTGCACCAAAACAATTGTGATACTTCGCGTCACGCCGCGCTTGTAATTACAAGGTGAAATCTTTCAGCGTGACATCGTATCATTTGTGATTTCAAAATAAATTCACGGTGCAACTGTGTAAAATCTCAACGTGAGATCTCAAGTGTAATCACAAAGGAAAGTCTCTGAAGATTCTCTCTGCAACATCTCAATTTGATACCTCATGGAAAAGACCAGCTTCTGCAGCATTGCGTCCCACTCGCTCCGTAAAGTGGGGCAAGCAAAGACACTGCTTTAGCAAGGCGCTCATGACAGGCCGTACAAAAGGAGCCTTAAATTAAACAATTGATGAGCATATCTGCGGAGGGTTTTACGTGCAACACGCTCCTGACAAAGCGGGGGCTGCGCCCGGAACATGTGGGCCCGCTACACTTCTCAATGCTGCATGATAAGCAGCCTGATTGGAACCTGCATCTACTGCACACTCCCACCTCATACTGCTTGAGTTCCGCAATGGCCTTATGATACTCTGCAGGCAATCTGAAATCTGCAGCTTGGAATTCTCATTCACAATCCTCAATCTGCAATGAAGTCAATGCCTCACCCTTCTTCGTTTTGTTGCATGCCAGATCATAGGTCTTCTTTCTTTCCTGC